CCTTGTACAAGTAGGCATGTACCAGGTGTTTGCCTTGTAGGTATGAAGAAAATTCTTGCCTTGTGCAGGCAAGCATGCAGGCCATTTGTCCAAATGGGTCCTGTGTGAAAGAAACCAAAGGTGCTTCAAATGAAGGATGCCCAGAGATGCTCCAAAAGAAAGTAGCCAGAGGTGCATCAAACAAAGGAAGCCCAAAGGAGCTCCCCTTCTTTCTGAATCGAAGGGAGTTAATTCAAAGTAAAACAAAGCTCAATCGAATACTCGCGGACCAAAGCTTGATCGAAGGGTGTTAAATTCCCAATCAAAGACTAGTGAGTCAAGCTTGTATCGAAGGATTTTAAATGCTCAGTTGAAACTTGTTGTTGTGCTAGTCGAAGGGCACTGTTTAACTTCCAATCGAAGGGCATTATTGAACATCCCATCGAAAGAAACTTTGCTAAGATTCAAAAATTTTCTCTTTCTTTAAACAAGTGTTTGTAACCACCATGTAAGGGAAAAATCTCGGGAAAATATGAGAGGGAAAATTTTGGGGTACAACACCTTCTTACACGGGTCTTCTCTAATTCGACACAATTCCTTCTTGCTGGTCTCCTCTTTCAGTCGAATTGTTGTAGCCTCCTCTACCTTTATTGTCGAACCACTTTCCTTTGCCTTTCTTGTCTCTTGTTGACTGCGCCTACAAAGCCTCACCATTCTTTGACTTGCCTGCAAGTCTTTCAGCCATTCTTTGTTCATGAGATTCAAGCGTCCCTCAAAGCTCTTCCTTCAACAAAGTTGACATGTCCTTCGACTTTTCTATGGCAACTACCACATGGTCGAAATTCGAAGCCAAATATCTCAAGATCTTTGAAACAATAGCTCTTGTTGTTAACGTCTCTCCATAAACCTTGATTTGATTCACTAGTTTCGTAACCCTAGGGAAGAAATCAAATATGATTTTACTATCTTCCATTTGAAGCAATTCATACATTCTTTTGTAAGTTTGTAACCTCACCTATTTAACATTTTCAGTGCCTCCAAATAATTTCTTCAGAACTTCCCAAGCTTCTTTTGCCGATTTTGTATCACTAACCTTTTCAAAATTGTCTGGACTCATACATTGATGAATTATAAAGAGAGCTTTATAATTCTTCTTCTTTGATTCTTTGTATTCTGCCTCTTCTTCTTTTAAAGCGTCTTCTTCAAACGACTCTAATCCATATTTCATAATATCCCAAAGATCTTGACAACAAAACACAACCTTCATCTGCTTTCACCAATTCTCATAGTTACCAGCTTTAAGAATTGGATGACTTTCTAAAAAATTCCCGTTCAGATGATTCATTGCCATCATTCTTGCTTGCCTTGAATCGCTCAACCGAAGCTCTGATACCAAATGTTGGAAATCCACCCAAATCTATGATGAATTTCTATCAATATTGATGAACAAGATTGTTATCACCATACAATGATAATGAAAAGAAAAGAAAATTAAAGAAGAAAAGAGATTTAGGTTTTCTACAGAGTAACTTTCTACCCATAAGTTGTAGAAAATATTTATTCACTTTGCAACTACAAAATTCTATGAATACAAGTTATTATTAGTTGATTACAAAAATAGGGGTTACTTCCTCTATTTATAGTTTTAAGTTATCTTGCTCTCTAAAGCCCAAAACAAAAAAGTCTAAAATACCTATTTTAGATCTAAGTCGAAATCTTGTAGGAAGCAACCTGCTTCGACACTTTGACAGCTAACACAATTCGACATAGACTTATTTCAACACACCTTGTATCGAGCAACAACCTGTTTTGACACAAGGAATTACACTTTTAACAAAAGTTTCAATATGGAGATGAATTTGTAAAAACTCTTTTAAGAACAATATTGAACAACTTTCACTTCTTTTAACTTATTATATAGTGGATGATGGTTAATTGGGGTGTGCCCTCAAGAAGCATAGAAATTTTGCAAACGAAGGGATGGGTGAAAATAATTAACGCTACATTCAATCTCTGAAGAAGAGTCTCTCCTTAATATTGGCTAGGGTTTTGATGAAAACAAATACATTAACAAAAGAAGAAAAATAATAAATTCAAAAAGGATCTACAAAAAAGAAAAAGATGAAGACAATGAATGATAAAGATGAAGACAACAATCAATCATGACAAAATGGTAAAAATGAATATTGAATAAAGTTAAGATTGTATGTACCTTTGATATATTATCATTTATCTTAAATATCACTTAAAAGCTTAGAAAATGTCATTCTAAGTTAACCTCAAATATTTTCAAATACTGTGCATAAAAAACATTGAAGTTGTGCCTTAAAAAATATTTTTAGTGTTGGAAAAAAAGTTGTAATTGAGTACAACATTCTTGTAATCGATTACATGTTGCCACAATTACATTCTTCTTAAGTAACATTTGTAACGCCTCAGTCTGCCTTCAAGATTATCAACTGATCCCACAAACCAACACAGATCTTTTCAACATGATTTGTCCTCACTCATACGCTTTCTGGGAAACTTCCCAAAAGGTCACCCATCCCAAAATTTCTCCAAGTCAAGCACGCTTAACTGTAGAGGTTTTATGGAACGGATTACCGAAAAGAAGATGCATCTTGTTGGTATAGGTAGTACCTATCAATCCTTATAAGCTTTCCTTTAACCATGTAGTCTCTTCCCTGCACAGCCTCAAGATCTCTTTCATTCTGATGTGGCGACCACTCATAGTCCTCTTCGGCCTCGAGTGTTACATACGGTGCAACCACCCTCCGTCCTTGGGTGTTACATGCCCACCAGCTTCCGCATGGTTCGTCTCCGAACCAAATCATACTGGGAGAGGTCTGCTCTGATACCATTTGTAACGCCCCAGACTGCCTTCAGAATTATTGACTGACCCCACTAACCAACACGGGTGGTCACCCATCCCAAAATTTCTCCAAGTCAAGCAGGCTTAACTGTGGAGTTCTTATGGAAAAGGCTACTGAAAAGAAGATGCATCTTGTTGGTATAGATAGTACCTATCAATCCTTATAATCTTTCCTTCAACAATGCAGTCCCTTCCCTGCACAGCCTCAGAATCCCTCTCATTCCGATGTGGCGACCACTTATAACCCTCTTTGGTCTCGAGTGTTATATGCGGTGCAACCACCCTCCGTCCTCTTCAACCTTAGGTGTTACAATATTCATATTATTGCTTCCGATGGAATAACAAGTTTAAAAACTTAATGCATAAACGAGAAAATTTCACCCAATCCTAATTTACCCCCTTTTATATTACGTCTCATAGTTACACACGATTTGGCAAGGATCTAGACTTGGACTTGTGCCTTGGTATTTATTTTTTTACGCTAAAAAGTTTACTTTTTTAAAAAGAAAAATTTTAATTTAAAATGTTCGTTATAATTATTACCACGTCATGTTGTCTTTCGTTATTTGAATGAGTCTAGGGTTTCAGAAGCGGTGATACCCCTTTTCGAAAAATCGAGTCCAAAACTTCAATATAAATAAACCCCTTCGATCACTTCACAAATTCTCAAGATATCGAAGCCTCATCTTATTCCCCTTTCTTTCAATTCGTTAATTTTTCGAGTATTTTTTGATTTCTCTTCAGAAAATTATGCAGAAATTATTTATGGTAGTCAAAAGGCCAATATTAAAGGATGCATTCTAAAACCATACCTACAGTGCAGTACGATCCCATACCGTTTAAGGGAACTATTTTATGCTGAAAATTTGGTGATTAATAGTATACTTACACAATTTGAACATTGTTGCAATGTCTTAAAGAGAATTAATGATCTAACCTTTATGTCACATAATTTGTTTTTCAGAATTTTTTCTAAATTCAGAAACAACAAACGCACATGAATGAATACTTATATATGAAAAAAGGTCACTTAGTTTGAAGTTTATGGCTTAAATTTAAAGATGCCAAAAGAATGGGACCTCATGAACTTTTTATACTAATCCTACCTACAATGTTCTATTATGGCTACCATGTGTTATCAACTTATCACTCATTGGAATCTATAGGGTTACTTTTCTAAACTCAAAATCCATTTCTTAATGAACTCTTTCAAAATAAAGTGGACCCCCCTAGTTTCCATCTCATATCACCAATTTCACAAATAGATATGTCCAACAAATGTAATACCAATATTCATAAAAACAGGTGTAATACCATTTTGTCAAAAAAGTAAAAAGTGTAATACCATTTTTGATCTTTAACATAATCATTAATATTTCATATATATCTATTCACCAGTGTATGAGATATTTGTTATTGGACTGTAGCAACATGTTGAGCTATAAAAATATCTGTATGTGATCAATTGTCTGGTTCAAAATTGATACAATAGACCACTATGATCAAATTAGTAACAATTATGCACACATGATGCTACTTTTGTTCTGTCCTCTTGTGCTTTGTCTTCTTAGCTAACTTAATTTTACACTACCATAAAAAATGTCAAATATAAAACAGACAGATGACAGTTAAAACAATCTTTTACACATTATGTTTTGGGTTAAGGTGGACAAAAATGGTGGGGTTAGCAAATCACTTTATTGATATAAGGTCAATTTAGGAATTTGGATTCTCTGCCGTCAATTCTTAATGAATATCAAACGACTCGTATTTTTACATATGAGTCTGTTTGATATTCAATCAACGGTCAAGATTCAATAACTGCAATATCACGTGCACGTCAGTTAGGATTGTGTTTGAGAGCGTGCAAGAGCAAGGTGGAATACACCCTATGGTTCAAAAAAATTGTTAAAAAAAATCTAAAAAAATATTGTCACAGTTAAATCATGGTTAAATAGAATGTCTATTTATTTTGTCATAGTTAAACTGAAGTTAACCTATACAAGACAGATGGTTTGACATCAGCGAACACAATTTCATGAATTATCTAGCTAGTATAAATATGCATGCATGCTTTCTGAAATTTCCATCCTGTTCAACTCAATTGCTTCCAAAACAATCTTTGTTTTTCAAATATCATTACAAAAGAATGACTTCAGAATTTAATCTATCTCCTTCTGATGCACACCCTGAGACAATGGATTTCCTTTCACTTGCTTGGTGTAACTTTGCTGTACAAGCTCTGAAACCTGAACCACAACATGGTTCACTTGTTCTACTTGATAATTCTATGAATCAATTTGATTCTAGTAGCCCCATGTCTCAGCCTACAGTGAGTCCTCAACCTCTTGAAAAGCTTAATCTTTATTCTAAATTTATAATTTTTATGTCATGTCACTTTTAATTTTTATCAACCTACTCATTTTGATTCATGTATGTGTAACTTGCATGATATGAAAAAAAAGAGTGCTGGTGGAATGGATGATGCAGATTTCATGTCTATACCTCCGATGAAGTCTAATAATGATCTTAAGGTAAGATACCATATAATATAATCATGATATGTAAAAAAAAAAAAAAAAACTAACACAGACACGGACACTGACACCAGATACAATACTGATACTGACTTGATAATTGTAAATGATAGTATCACATGAGTTGGTGTTGTAGAAGTGTCAGACACAACACATGTAAGACATATCTTGAAATCGACGCTACATAGATTTTGAAGAATTTTTTTGTGTTATATTTTTTCAGTCATGGATATGGATGCAGCAAGCTATGCATCCTGAATTGAATTACAAAAGCAGTTTAAGAAAAAAATGGGTACGAATACATAAAATTTTCACTCAATTTCATGGTGAGAGTTACATGCATAATATGGCCATATCATGCAGGTGCCATGGAAGCAGATACTACCAATGAAAGGCATGTCAATAAAGAAATGGTTTAAGGAGATAAAGGTGAAGAGGAAAGAAGAGCAAAGATTGCAAAGAGCAGAAGTGCATGCAGCAATGTCCATTGCAGGAATTGCAGCAGCACTTTCTGTAATTGCTTCTGAAAAATCAAAGAAAGAGTCAGATGAAGATAGAGAATCAGCAATAGCTTCTGCGGCTGCTATGGTAGCTGTTCAGTGTGCAAAAGTAGCTGAAGCCATGGGAGCTAAGAAAGAAGATCTTAGAAGTGTTATTGGCTCAGCCATGAATGGAACAAGTGCTAGTGATATCTTAACTCTCACTGCTGCTGCTGCAACATGTAGTAATTTTTGTTATTTCCACTCATGCTTTTTCATGTCAATTATTTTCAAATTTTTCATGTTGGTTATTGTTTTAAATTGCCATCACACTCATCTCAAGTTTTTGGAGGTTTTGTGTAGATTTATTATACTTTAACTATGAAAAAACAAATAGAGGCCTTACTTATCCACGGTTTAATCGTGACAAACATTTTATGAGATCTTTTAGTTAAGGTATAATCGTGATAAATTTTAAGTCCAGTGCGGTGTGCTGTTTTGTACACCTTCAAAGACGGTCCTGATTGTAGCTGCAACATCGATGATGTGGTAGTCTCCACAACTGCATCAGACTGTAATTACAGTGTGATTTGAAATCACGCATCCTTCCACGTTAGAAACCGCATCAGACAATTTCATCTGATTTCTTCAAAAAATTTCGTCAAAACTTTATGTACAAATAATATGTTGTTGAATGAAATTTTTTGGCTAACTAACTGTAGCATTAAAGGGAGCAGCCACACTTAAAGTAAGATCAGGATGCAATAACAGATTGAATGGAGGATCACCCATGTTGCCAATTGAAGAAAAGTATGATTTGGATTTTGATTTTGAAAAAGGAAGATTGATTCTTGCACAAGGTGCTGAGTTGTATGTGGAATCACCAGAAGGTACTTTCAAATTTCAATGCAATAATAAAAAGCTCCACACCAAAATTCAATTATTATAACATTTTTATATATGCTTTTTAATTTCAATTATATGTCTTATCAGGGAAGTACATGCCAAGATCAGTGTCAATAATCCTCAACAGTGAAGCCAAGGTTAGGATCATAGAAAATATTTGTGTCTTTACTTTAAATTATCAACTAAATAAATCTAGTTTTACCTCTACAGCATCGACATTTCTAAAACAAAGTGTGTCTGTGTCCTCGTAAGTCTTCACGTGTCTGATGTTTGTGTCTGTGTCGTCTGTACTTCGTAGAGTTTTACTGATTAATTAAACTTTATTGTTCTAACTTGTGGAGCAATAATCTTTACTCAAACTACAGGTTGTACTGATGATGAGGAAACATAATCTACTAAAAAGCAAAAAGGAAAGTAAGTGCTTTTTTTTTCTCTCTCTCTTTTAATTATATATTAAAGCTTAGAATGTGCGAATAACTTATGATTAATGTTATAGGTATTATAATGAACATGCATGCAGAGCTGTATAAAGGTTCAAAAACTGAGGATGATCATACATGTTATTTGATTGTTTTGGCAACAAGAAAAGGAACTTTCAAGATAGACATGGTGGATGATCTTCGTCGTTACAAGACATGGGTCACTACTATCAATCATATGCTCAAGATTTCATCTTCTTTTGCTAAATATGAGCTCCAATTTTACTGATGAAATCAATGTTATGATGATCATCACTAGTTGTTAATTACCTTTTTATGTATTCATTTGCATTTTCAATCTTATATATGTTTGTAAGAAGAATTCAATGAATGTATTATATATTCCTACTACTAAATTTGAGTTTGAAGAGTTTGTGATGGGTCATCTATATATCTTTCAAGTAAACAAAAGTATTTATAATATATTTCAACCCTTGGCCATGTCATTCTGATCTGGAGACCGAAATCAGATTAATTAGTTCGCTAAACGGATCGAACACCTGTAGTAAAAAAGAAAAAAAAATTAATTAATTTAAATAAAATGAATTAATCTAATAAATTTTGATTAACGGATACTCTATTATTATTATTATTATTATTATTATTATTATTATTATTATTATTATTATTATTATTATTATTATTATTATTATTATTATTATTATTATTATTATTATTATTATTATTATTATTATTATTATTATTATTATTATTATTATTATTATTATTATTATTATTATTATTATTATTATTATTATTATAAAAAATTGGTGAATCGATATCAATCATTTCAAACTTCTAAATAAATTTGTTGAACCGTTAAATTAATAAATTCTTTTTTGACATGTTTGTTCAGATGATAGTAAGAAAGAATGTAGATTATAGTTATCAATGCACGCAATAGTTTATTTTTAAATGTTGAATTTCAATGTATATTGTCATATCTTACTTAATAGTATGTTCTAATCTATACAAGTCATTCCTCAATCAAAAAATTTTGTTGGCTACAATATCATATTAGAATTTGGTGTTAGGTCTAATTCAAAATTATAAAATCACATTAAAATGTGAAAAATTTATGTTTAGGTCATCTCTTATATTTAACACACACTATTAAGATTTCAAAATGAACATATTGAAATGTGAATTCTCATTAGATTGAAACAATTACAACAATGCAATATTTATACAATTAGAGTGTCATGCAGTATAAGCAAATTAGACTACACTACACCATAGTAAAACCCTAGAGGTACAACTACTTCTAACTGCTTTTGTAACAGAAGTAACATAATGGAAAGTTAGTTAGTGATGTCATTCTAACTGTTCAATGGTGGTGTTGGTAGTGTTGTTGTCATAGTTCAATATCTTCCCACAAGTTGAAGGTTGATAAATGTTTATCATCTTCAACTTGACTAAGAGTACATAAGTTGAGGAAGAAGAGACTTTGTGAATAGATCTTCAAGTTGATTTATACGCTCATGAAAAATGGGATTGGAAGTAATGTGAATTACACTCTGATTATCGCAGAAGTTTTAATGCACATGACATACAAATCTTGTAGAAGATACAACAGTCATTGAAGCTCACAAGTTGTTGCCGCAAGAGTTCTATACTTAGCTTTCGATGATGAACGTGACACAGTTAATTGTTTCTTGGGTAACCACGAGATCAAGGATCTACCAAAGAAGAAACATTGACCTGAGATGGATATGCGTGTATCGATACATCCTGCCCAATCAGCATCCGAGTGGCCATACAATTGTAAGGTAGAATCACGTGGAAGCAGGATGCCACGAGCTGAACATGATATAAGGTACCTTAAGACTCGACATGCAACCTTAAAATGAGTGACTGTGGGATGTGATAGATATTGACTTAGTTATTGTGTGTAGAAAGTAATATATGGTCGTGTGGCATTCAAGTATAGTAGTCTCCCTATGAGTCTTCGATATGAAGGAATATCGTGGTAAGGTTCACTTGAGTCTTGGTATAATTTGAGAGTGGCATTTGTTGGTGTAGAAACTAGTTTAGAATCAAGAATACCTGAATCTTCTATTAAGTCTAAGCAGTATTTCCGTTGGTAGAGTAGAATGCCTGCATTGAAGTGTGCAACTTCAATGCCTAGAATATATTTTAACTGTCCCAGATCTTTGATTTTGAAGGTGTTGTCCAAGATTGTTTTAATCTGGACAAATTCCTTAATGTCTTTTCCAGTTATGATCACATCATCAACGTATACTAACAATATTATGATGGAGGATTTGTTAGTTTTCACAAAGAGTGAATGATCCGAAGTAGCTTGTGTGTAGTGTTGTGAAAGGAGAAATGATGTAAGTCGCTCATATCATCTTCTACTAGCCTGTTTGAGGCCATATAGGGACTTAATAAGTTTACAGACTTGATGAGGCTTGCTTGTATGTACTCCAGGAGGAATAACCATATAAACAACTTCTTCTATTTCTCCATGCAGAAAGACATTGTTTACATCAAGCTGATATATGTGTCATTGTTTACACGAAGCTAGAGTAATAATGGTTCTCACAGTGGTGATCTTAGCAACTGGTGAGTAAGTATCAAAATAATCAAGACCCTCAATCTAATTATTTCCCTTGGCTATTAACCGTGCCTTGAATCGTTCAATAGAACCATCAGCTAAATATTTATTTTTGTATGCCCAGCGACACCCAATGGGTTTAACACCTGGTGGAAGATCAAAAATCTGCCAAGTACCATTCTTTTCAAGGGCTGAGAGTTCAAACATCATATCTTTCTTCCAACATTCATATTTGAAGGTTTCAGTATGTGACTTAGGTTCAATATTAGAAACTAAGGACAAAGCACAATGAGAATGAGATGGTGACAAATATTCATGAGAAATATAATTGGATATAGGATAAGGAATGCATGTGATTTGAAGCAATGAGAGAATTGCCTATGTATTATTGCAGATAAGAGGGATGTTGCCTCATTCTTGAAGAGGTTCTAGTGGAAGGGTTAGGAACATCATCAATGGGAGTAAGGTTGTGAGGAATAGGGTGATCAATGAGGTTAGTTGGATTGGTGGGGAATGAGGTTGGGTAATGAGAATGTCATCATCCAGTAGTGTTGTGGAAGGTTGGTTAGGGATGGTAAGGCATGATGAACTAGTACTATCTGAGATGACAGGATGTTTGGAAGGAAAATAAGACCATGAGGTGTATAATGTTTGGTTGCTTGGTTTGTAAGGTAAGATATGTTCATGAAAGATGACATTGCGGAACACAAAGATCTAAGTGGTATGAAAGTCCACTAATATGTAACCTTTCATACCGGATTTGTATCCAAGGAATAGAGACTTACTAGCACGAGGGTCTAATTTGGTTCTATGGACTTGAAGTGTGGAGGCATAGTAGAGGGATCCAAATACTTTAAAGGTTTTTAAATATGGAATTTTGTCATGGAACATTTGATAAGGGGACTTATTTGTAAGAACATGTGTGAGAACTCTATTAATGATGAAGGTGACAAATTGGACTGCATAAGACCAATATATTTTTGGGAGTTTAGATTAATATAGGATGGCTCTTGCTAAATTCAAAAGATGCTGATATTTTCTTTCCAATCGTCCGTTTTGTTGTGGGTTTTCAACACAAGATCGATGGTGTATGATGCCTTTGGATGAGTAGAATTGATGTAGCAAAAATTCAAGTTCATTATCTAACCTGACAGTTTTTGGTGTGACATGGAATGGATTAATAATCATGGTGATAAAATTTTGGACTTGTATGGAGACTTCAGATTTAGATTTTAGCAGGATGATCCATACAAATCGAGTGTGATCATTAAGGATGGTTAAAAAATATCTATGGTTATGTATAGAAGGAGTAGATAGAGGACCTCATATATAAAAGTGTAAGAGCTCAAATTTATGAGAAGCAATGGAAGAACTCGAGTGATATGGTAATTTTTTTATTTAGCCAAATGGAAAATATCACATGTAGCATGATTGTCAAGATCAAAAGAAGAGTACAATTTAGACATTTGAGCTATTCTCTTTGGAGATGCATGGCCAAGTTTAAAATGCCATAAGGCATATTTGGGAATTACAATATTTTGGTTATGTAGTAAGAGAAATGAGTCTTTAGAATGACATGTGTTGGCTTGAATACGAAACTTGATTTGGTGAAATGAGTTGGATTCTCCAAAATGAGGATCCTTTATTTGCAAGATGTACAATCCATTCTTTTTTCTATCCAAATCAATCGTCCTCAATGTATTCATTTCCTAAAGGAGATATTGATCAACAGAAAATATGACAGAACATTACAAGTTATGATACAATTTAGAAATATGAATTCTCATTAGATTGAAACAATTACAACAGTGTAATATTTATACAATTAGAAATATTGTGCACTATAAACAAGCTAGACTACACTGCACCATAGTAAAACCCTAGAGGTATAACTACTTCTAACTGCTTTTGTAACAGAAATAGCAGAATGAAAAGTTAATTAGTGATGTCATTCTAAGTGTTCAATGGTGGTGTTGGTAGTGTTGTTTTCATGGTTCAATACACACTTTAACGCTCAATACTTAACATTTAAAGTGTTGATCAAATGGTGAGAACCTAATAGCAGGCAACCTAACATCTTTTTGATTAAGTTATGATACCATGAAGAAAGTGCTTCGAACGTATTCAATGTTATGTTACCATACAACAACTAATATTCAAATACATAAAATTTTAGATCTAGTAAACTTTGTTTAACGAACCACGTTCTATGATATAAGAGTAACATTAAATATTGTTATTTAATGTCTATTATTTATAATCTTTCACATTGGACATGACATTCATTATTGATATGAATAAAATAGTAGTGGTTATTATTAGTGGAAACATCAATTAACGTTTTAAGTTGAGGCAAGTCCCAAACTAAAATTATACCAAAGCATATGCTAAAAATGTTGATATACTAACCATTAAATATTTTCTATTTTCAGAAATGGTCCCTCCAAATTTAGAAGATCCAAACTTGAGTTAAATGTCTAAAATTGAATGTCTAAAATTGAAGAGTTCAAAATTTACAAATCCCTAAGCTAATGCGATAGTTTGTCCTAGTTTATCCAATTAAGAACTTGCTTAGTGAACAATACATAATCAGCAAGAAGAGAGATCAAGCTGTTAATCTTGATATAATAAGATTTTATTAAATTTATAATAAGTAAAATACACTCATTTCT